GGTCGTGGTGTTGATGTTGGGTGGGAGGGGGGGGGGGGGTTGTCTCCGAAGTGAGGGGAGCCTCAGATGTAAAAGGAGGGGGCTCCTGGTCTCAAGAGGTACTCTGATGTGACAATGGGGGGCTCTGATTTGAAGGGGGGACTTCAATGTGAAGGGGAAGCCTCATTCTTTTGTGGTTTTGCATGGGGTTCCCCCTTAAAATCTGTTACATTTTAGACTGAGGTGTCTTAAGATTTTTTGTGCACTTTTAAAGGGGGCTGTGACAGAAAAAAGGTTGGAAAACTGCTTAATAAATGTGCTTCAAACCTTTATTCCACAAGAATTACAATATATGGAGATGGATGGGGATTTCCCCTCACTCCCTTTTATAACTCCTGTCAGCTGGACAGGAAGTGAGGGGGAATCTCCCTAGACACCAGTTAACCCCTTCAAATGCAGGATTATGAAGATAGGTCCCCAGCACTCAGAAACACAAAGAAAGATGTTTTTATTGCAAGATTATATCACATAGGTCAGAATGTCAACGTGCCGAAGCCGCACAGGGTCTGACACGCTGACTTGAGGAAGGGACCTCGTGTGGCCCCGAAACATTGTCATTCTGACCTACGTGATGTAATCTTGCAACAAAATAATGTTAATGCAGGTCATGAAGGGGTTGAGCAAGTCAAGATGGCAGAGCTGTGTAAGTCTCAGAAATGGATGGACAGATATCAAAATTCTTTAGCAGGTAAAACATACCTTATGTATGTACTTCATATTTCTATATGGCGTAGAGCTGCAAAAAACTCAATGGAGGCCATACTAGATTTGTATGGTAGAAATGAATCATGCTTAATGGAGTTCTGCACAAACTAAATCTCACCTTTCTCTTACAGGCATTGTGCCTCGAATATTTTTCCTCCTGTCTTGAATAAACAGATGTGGTACCTCCAGTAAACCTACGGAATACATAAGAAGAAACATACATGATTGGAAGCGTAGCACAGATCAACAGAACTGTAACTAAATGATCATTCTAATGATACCAGCCACAGAGGATACAGAGTAGCACCAAAATTGTCTTCCTTGCTTAGGTGCCAGGGATTCAATCAATGCTCATCATCAAAGCACTCATAGGCAATGATTCCTCGGTTTGTACCTGCAAATTCTTTGTAGTATTGCAGTAATGGATGCCTATTTATCAGTGGTGTCCTTAGTCTTTTTGCAGTCTGAGGCTGGCCATTGTGGGGTCAGGGTGGTGCACGCAATCAGAGCTGGTGGAGGTGAGTAGAGGAGAAAGTGCCTCCCTATGCAGGCTCTGCAACTCCCCAACCTGCTCTTAGCAACCTGGGATGCTTTGGCCAGCATCCCACCCAGCTCCGAGCAACGTGTGATATCAGTGGTTACTAGGAGACCAGAGCATCCTAGGTTGCTAAGAACTGGGTGGGGAGATGTGTATGGCCCTTACACATCCCGGGTCTTAGCAACCTGGGATGCTCTGGCTGGAATACTGCAAAAATTGTACAGCAGACCAGCCATGGCGCTCTGCCTGTGTGACCCAAAGGGATGTGCATGCTAATGAGGCTGATTTACTAAAGGAGTTGGGAATCTTCACTTCAAAAAAATGTGAGAATATTTACTTTATATGTATTCACTTTAAATTATCCAATCGTGTAAAAAGCAAATGCCTGTTCACTTTGAATACCCACTCGTGTGCAGATGCTTTAAATAAACTTTAATATCTGCAGAATTTTTGGAGTGAAGATCCTCAACTCTCCTTTAGTAAATCAGCCCTAGTGTCTCTGAATTCAGACCTTTTCTATAGCAATGCTTTAAAATGTTCCCTAGGTGGCGATACACTTCACCTCACTGAATGATAACATGAATAGCCATACTGTTAGATCTTTTCTTCCAAAAAGCAATGGGGGAGTTTTGCTTGCATGAAACTGTTGCATGCAGTCATCAATATGGTCCTCAGGTATGCTGCCCATGCTCTGCTTCCAGGTCTAGATATGCTCGCTGCATGTATGGCTGGGACCCTATGGACAGCCCAGTCATAAAGAAAACCTGTCATGGAAGAGACTAACTACAAATCCCAACATGCCTCTCCCTCTGGGAGTCATGCCTGTAAGTGTCAGTGTAATGCCTCATGGGACTTGTAGTTCCACGACAGCTGGAGTTGCCCACCCCTGATCGAGGATAAAATGACATGAGTAGATGTAAATATTCCCGTGTACTGTCAGGAGCACGATCACTATGCTAATCAAACACGTTGTGCCATCTCCCTCTATAACATCTTCTGGAAATATGACTCTGAGGCCTAGTTTACATGTGCGGCACCCCGTGAAAGGTGATACACAGTAGATTGCTTTTCAGAGGACGGTTGACAACTGATTTACCGCTATTCAGAAGGCGATACTGCTGCCGCCTTTCTGATCCCAACGGGGATATTACAATGCGTGGCAACCACAGCGCAGTCCTGCTGATTACAATGGTTGCATATGGCAAGTGGCACCACCTGCCAAACATGACACGTTGTATGGATGCAAAGCATCCGTACATTCCTGTGCAGCCGCCATGTTTTTGCTGCCCGTGTAAAGGAGGCCTGATTGGTCATGTGACAATGTCACCACTAAAACTTCGACAGCATAAAAACCCCCAAGTGATGGACTAACTACACACTGCGCCAAGCTCTTTCCGCAGATTGTTTGATCCATTCTAAGTTTTCAAAACTGCTCCGCAAGGAACATTTAGGGGTCTATTGATCAATGTTTTCACCCAAGATTCACACAGTTTTCCATTGAAAATTGTGTGAACATTGGGTGAGTTTTGGCTGAAAACTTTGATAATGAAACCTCAATCTCCTTTTGTTTTCTAACAGAATAAATGGAACCACTCGCGGTTTCTGGGAAAACAAAAGAATTACCATTTGGCGTGAGAGGTGGACTCCTTCCAACTAGATGAGTAACAGGTAATGACCGTGCATTCCTAGACATGATATCAGATGTTCATCATAATAAGCTGTATATTATATATATTCTTAGATCATATTAACAGGGCTCACCACACAAATGTATGTAAACGCTTATTTGACAAGCTTTAGCTTGGCATGGACAAGCCATTGAAAACAGCTTGGGTTTAATTTATTTCAATTACTATTATTGTGTAACCTTCCAGGAGTTTTGGATACATTGGGGAAAGGTGAAAACTTCTACCAGGTTTCCTCTGTCTGTGTCCCCTTTGGGGGTTTCCCATCACTTCCTGTTCTGGTGATTTTGGCATGATCTAGATCCAGTAGATGCCCAATGGTTGGCCACACTTATGATAAACTACCTATGCTTCCCGCTACATTGATGTAACTGGGAGCACAAGGCGGTTTATGGATAGTAGTGTCCAAGAAGGGTCAGACTGAACTGCAACCAACTCTCCTCTGAAATCTTATTGGAATCAAAATGTGTGCCATTGTACTCAACAATCCTTGTAGTCAAGACACTCCTGCCAGAAAGCACTTGCAGGTCCTGACCTCTCTCTGCAGGCTACACTGCAGTCCAGCAATATAACCTGGTCTAGGACCCACCTGGGCGTGTGATTGGACAATGAAGGAGAAGAAGCAACACTGTTGAGATCGTCATTCTGCTCTTTCCTATCTGAAAGCTCTAGGGCTCATTCACACCAGATGCATTGGGCTGCACTGGGCAGCATTGCCCAAGACATAGACAAGGCAATTTGCCCCGTATCCTATAATGTCAGTTCCCACTGTGGCGGTGTGTGCTGAAATAAGTAGGACATGCAGTACTTATGTTTTTCAGTGCAGTGTTGTGACGCATTACACCAAATCCCAATGTGCTATGGTGACTAGAAATGAATGAAATGTCACTTTGACATTTCAAAAAAGTTACAAAAAAGGTAAACAAGTGAAATAGGCATTGCACTGCGCCCTAAGGGCCCGTTCCCACAGTTGCCTGTCTGTTGTACAGCACACTGTCGGAGCTGTCGATTGACTTTCTTTTTCTTAACCTTATTGGTAGTGTACAAAGTGAACACTGCATTCAGGTCCTGCACAGCACAGAAGGGGGCACATAGAAAACAATTGTTGAAATGCAGTATCCCCTGACTTCTAGTGTTGGCCCTATAGGACCTGGTACCTGGAGGGTTAGGCTTTCATTGCTGTCTCTGTAGTCATTGGGGCAATTTCCTTTCATTTCCTGTGTGGTCAATGAGCCAGGAACTCAGCAAAGTCAGTCTGTCTAAGACAGGGGTAGGCAACGTTGGCACGCCAGCTTTTGTGGAACTACAAGTCCCATGAGACATTACAATACTCCAACAGCCACAGGCATAACGGGATATTGTAGTGCTGAGTCGCCTGCCCCTGGTCTGGTGTGCTATGGCCCTTAGGCTACAATATCTGCCTGGAGTTCATCTTCACAGTATAGGAGGAAATACATTTCAGAGGCATTATGTGTAAAGACCTTTCTCACAGACAAAACAAACAAATGAGGAGTAAGTGGGGAGGTTATCCGAGGCTAGGACTGGGGCTGTCCCTCCAGCTGAATATACTGGATTGTTGTTATGCTGCTTTCTAAAAACACGATGACTAAACTACTAAGAAGATATGGAAGATAATATGTGCAGCGTGATGATCACTTCCTCAATGCTCTGCCCTGTGTAACCACAAGAGTGAGGCAGACATTGCATGGTGAGGTTTCTGGGGCGCACTGACAACCCCCAACCTCCGCTTGCTCTATATGGCCTGTGCACACAGGGCTAGAGCAACAGATTTCCCCTTTTCATAACAGTCTGATTTATTATCGATTATTAATAACAGCCAGATGTATTTATTATTAACATCCTGATGTATTTATTATTATTATTATTATTAACAGCAGCCTGATTTATTTTTTATTATTATTATTATTAATAACAGCCTAATTTAATATCTATTATTAATAAAAGTCTGATTTATTATCTATTATAAATAACAGTCTGATTTATTATCTATTATTAATAACAGCCTGATTTATTATCTATTATTAATAACTGCCTGATTTATTATCAATTATTAATAACATCCTGATTTATCTATTATTAATAACATCTTGATTTATTATCGATTATTAATGCCATCCTGATTTATTACCTATTATATTAATAACAGCCTGATTTATTATCAATTATTAATAACAGCCTGATTTATTACCTATTATTAATAACAGCCTGAGTTATTATCTACTATTAATAACAGTCTCATTTATTATCGACTATTAATACCATCCTGATTTATTACCTATTATTAATAACATCCTGATTTATTACCTATTATTAATAACATCCTGATTTTTTACCTATTATTAATAACAGCCTGATTTATTATCTAGTACTGCAGCCTGATTGGCTGCAAGCTCCATTCCTCCAAAGATTTTCCAACCTGCTCCTTTGATCAGCTGATCAAGGGATGCAGGAAGGAAGGGTACTGACCGGGGGGCACCCACTGTGCGAATTTCAGCGGCTTGATGAAGAAATTTGCATAGTGTACAGCCTCCTTTAGTCTGAAAAGAAGAAAACTAATGCCGCCGCCACATCTAAGGACGAGGTTTAGATCTAAACACGCATCTCTCTTTATTTTTAAAGTGCATTTCCACTTTTGCAGCCAAATTAGGATAACCCCTATTTTATATGTGTTGCATGTTCCCATTCACATAGCATAACAAAAATATTTTAAAATTGCTGCTTTTTACTTGCTTAAAAATCCCACCTAGCTTTCCCCTCATATGTAATGGTAAGGAGGTCTGTACTGTGCTCGCAGATCAGTAGATGTGTGCACTGTCTGTCTTAACCAAGAGTTAAAGATCTCAAGGCTTGGGTGGTACATTGTATGTTAATGAATTGGCTGTGGAAAAAAATGC